CAATCCTCCCCTTTTTTCTTGAGGAAGATGGGTCCTGAGCTAACAACCGTGGCCATCTTCCTCCACTTTATATGGGACGCCGCCACAGCATGGCTTAACAAGCAATACGTCGGTGCACGCCGGGGATCCGAACCTGCGAACCCCAGGCCGCCGCAGCAGAGCGGGCGCACTTAACAGCTTGTGCCAGCAGGCCGGCCCCGATTATCATTATTATTATTTTGGCTAAACTTTGTTCGTGTTGGCTCATTTTCTTTTGGATTTTGAGCTCATATATGGCTGACATTAATCTGTGAGAATTCTGCCTGAAGTTGCACTCCTCCGGAGAGAAATACTATCTGCTTCCATCAAGTGCCCTTGGATCTTACCAACCTGGGACAACTGTGGCCTTATAGGTTAGAATCTCCCAACAACCTATGTTTTATAAATTCAAAACTTTAACTCATACAAGATCTGAAGTATAGTCATGAATCCTCAATGTGAGAATTTCGTTTGTTTGTTTTTCTGTCATGTCATTTACCTAGAACTGAGAGCAAACAGATAACTTGTTTTCTCCCTTTGCTTGAAAGAAGTGGCAGTTTAGTTTCTGCAGACTACTCTTCCAGTTAGGCTGAGGCAGTTAAATATTATTATTGTATGTGGTGGTTCAGGGTGTGGAGGAGTTTTAATCTGTACTTTCATTGAGGATGTACTCCTTCCACAAAAAAGAAAAATAGCTGACAAGCTTTAGAAAATGAAAAGATGCTTCACTTTACAAAAGCAATTAGAAATCTTATATACAAAATAAGTGAATTAACAAAAATTTAGTTTATTCACAATTTTTAAGAATTTATTAATTGCAAAAGCAAAATAAACATTTATCAAAAAATGGTTTAAAATTGTTATTACATCATTGAAATCAAGTTAAAGACAAATGTTAAATAATTTTAAAAAGATGATGCATAAACAAGGACCTACCAGATTTTTATCCACAACAATGTACGTTTCAAGATTTCGATGGAATGACTTGAACAATTTAGTTCTCTGAAAAACACACAATGTGAGTCCTGAGGAATTTCCAGAAATTTACCTTCTATCGAAATTTATCTTTAGAGATAAACTGAGAGACATGTTGCTACTAATTACATAACAAGCCTGCTTCAAATACAAAATTTAGGTACTAGTCAGGAAATTCCAGTCCAAAAGGAGCTTGTGGTTACTAAGAATTTTCAATGACGTTTCAAGCTATATAATAACTCAGATATCTTTTGATTTTAGCAACAGCTGAAACTGAAAATATTAAGTTTACAACATAAAGCTTTTCTTTCCTTAGCCTTGTGATAATTTTCATAGTAACCACATGAAGACAGATTTTCTGCTACCACTTATTAGGAAACTACTTTTGGCAAACAATATAGTTTAGAAAAATATTACTGAAGTTTATGATCAATGGCGGCTCACTAGAGCCAGGTGTGTTATTTATGGCAGTTTACAGATCTTTGTGGATGAATAATTCATCACTTTGCTTTACATGTACCTACGTAAGCCACTGATATTCATTTTTGAACTCTTATGAAACAACGATTTAACTTAGAAATCCAGATTACATAATATTTTCACCTAAATTATCTGAGTAATTGAGGAAAAGGAACAATTTACACTAATTATCCAAATACTCACACATGAACATTAATTTTTTGTTTCTTTAATCCTATATTCACATATTCATTTCCAAGATTAATAACCTAAGTTTTCATGAAACTTTCATCTGATCATAAGCATAACAAAGAACTTAATTTCATTCTCTATCCATTTTAAAAGTCAGACAGGGCCCTCATGAAAAAGTAAAACAATTTTAAGATTTGTAAGTCACCAAATTTTGCTCTCAAAGTGTTTTTGGTTTCACAAAATTATACTGAATAAGTTAAAATTAAAAAGTCAACACTTACTTCTGAACTTTTTCTGACTTCATACAGTGAATTACGGCTGTAAGTGCCATTGTTTCCTAAGAGGGGAATATTAGTGTTATCATTTTTTCCCTTATAAATCATGTGCACGAATCCTGATAGAGCCTCCATGGGTTCAATTCCATATGAGATGTTTTTAAACTGCAAAGTCCCCCTGAATATTAAGATAATCAAAACAAGTGAGAAATGATTCTACAAAAACTATAATCTAATATTCTAATGACAAATTTTGGCCAGAATTTTTTTTTCACATTTAAAGTTACCTTAGTTTTTCTACTTTATCTCTTTATTCTTTGAGGTGTTAACCCAGAACTAGACCAGTAATACCATAGGATATGTACTGCTTTATATTACAAATATTCTAAGGAAAATATTTTGGTTATCTTCAAGAAAGCATGTTAGCGGAACGGATTCACATGCTTAAACAGGTTATGATCCCTGCCTAGGGTGCAGATTTTCTAAGCCAGCCTGTAGGATGCATAGGCACTCTCTTCCTTAGTATTAGGTCCCATTCTTCTTTTTAAGACACCTAACTCTCCCCTGACACTTAATGTCCTAAATCATTTGTTTGTGTGTGCTGAACTGAAGGTACTACCTGCCTAAAAATGACTGTGAGCAGAGCCAAAGTGTCTATCAGATTCAGGCATTCTATAATTGTCAATCATTCTAAGAAATTAAGAAACAAGTAAAACATAAAGAATTTGGGAAAACTACAGAAGTATGGAGAGACCAATCAATCCCCTCTACACTCAAGATTGCTGAAAGCCTCAAGCAGGAGATCCTGTCAGAATCAACAAGTACCCTCCCATCAGAAAAAGGTGCTGCCAGGGTGACCAAGTCTATTTCATCAGCAATTCTGGTTTACTCCTTAGGGAATTGAAGCAACAAAGTGACCGTAGATCTACAAAAGATACATGGAGGATCAACTTATAGAGTAGCAGGATCTAATACTGGCAAATGTAATATCTTTAAATAGGCTACAACCTGAGTCCTGAACAGGTGTTGAGTGACACACGAGAATTTGGAAAACCTGCAACATATCCATGATAACTGCAATCCATCTGAAAAAAAAATACACAAAGAAAAACAAATGGATAACTTATTTTAAAAATAGACATCCCACGTGTGTCATTTATATTTATTACTTTAGCTACCCTGGTACTTTAATATGAATGGCAATTACCAATGAAGTTGTGCCTGGTAAAAATAAGAACTAGTCCAGGTTATACAATTTCAGTGAATATGCAAAATAATATTCTAGTAATTTCAGAATATTCATATTTTTAAATAAAATCCAGAATAATAAATCTGCAAGAAAAAACCTAGGTCTTACCTGAACCAGCAAAGGCTTAGAACGTTGGCTATCATCTTTATCATAAGAATAAACAACAGAAGCTGAAGATAAAAATGATCTAGACAGAAATCACAAAAACATGCTCAAGTTGTAAAATACAAAACATAGAAATAATTATTCTTCATAATACAAATTTTCTTTTTAGTGAGGAATTTAAAGTAGTGGCAATTATCTTAGCATATCCTATTGTCCAAATACTTCTCTGTCATTTACAATAAATTAGGTGTTGAAGGAGGTATTTTAACCACAGTGACATACAATATTGAAATGCATGCTAACGAACAGCCCAAATTGCTAGAAATATTGAAGAGTGAAATAACACAGGTCCCAACTTCCAGCATAGGATTTGCACCTCTTTGTCTTTATTGTTCATTGATTCTAGATTTTAAACCTGAATCTTAAAATTAAAATGTAAGGTTAGGACAGAATTTAGAAAGATTTTCTTGGTATCACTACAAGTTTATATTCACTAAGCTTAGCTAAGTATCCAGTTCTTTTCAATAACTTTGGTCAGAATTTTCTTTCATTTTTCCTGGTAACTATTCAAAAACTTGACACCACTTCTGTCAATTATCCAACATAACCTTCATGTCACCTCACTTTCAGATCACCTGTACCCATCCTCACTCCTTTTCTTTATTTCCAGAGGATGATTACTTCTTTTGTTTAAAGCAAACCCTTAAACTTATGCTATGAATCCTATCCTGTGCCATATATTGAAGATACATACTTTTTCCATCCTACAATTTTAAACTCTTCCTCTCTACTGCTTTTTTGTCTTAATAATATTTAAAAGTTTATTACCAAGTCATTACCACCCTAAATAACACTCCCTTGACCCTAGTCCTACTCTAGCTATTCCCTATATATTTTCAATTCTCAACAGATTTTATCAAAAGAGTAGTCTACACAGAGGTTCTCCACTTTGTCAATTCTTATTCACCCTAAAACTGCTCTGGAAAAGATTCATAACCACCAGAATGTCAAATCAAAAAGACAATTGTAAAATAATCATTTTACTGGACTTCTGGCATCATTTTGGAAACTGTGGCTACTTCACCTGATCGCTTAATTTACATCACACATCACTCTTCTTCTTCTCTTCCTACATCTCTGATGCTTCCAGCTTGATCTTTCATATTGGCTGCTTTTTTGTTCTACCTAACCCAGAAATGTTGGTTTTTCCCAGGATTCAGCCTTTAGCCATTAGACTATAAGCACTCTATAAACTCTCATTTAAAAAAAATTACAACCAAACAACTGATTACTGCTAAGTCTATTGCCAATCTCCTCAGAGATTCAAATTTCTATGCTCATATACCTAGTGGAAAAAACCCATTTGGATATCTTATAGCCACTGCAAACCAAACTCATCTCTTCCTCACATAAACATCTTCCTGTTCATATTGGTCATTTAATTACACTATAACCTGCCCAATTTCTTTCTTTTTTTTTTTTTTGTGAGGAAAATCAGCCCTGAGCTAACATCCATGCTAATCCTCCTCTTTTTGTTGACGAAGACTGGCTCTGAGCTAACATCTATTGCCAATCCTCCTCCTTTTTTTCTCCCCCCTGCCAAAAGCCCCAGTAGATAGTTGCATGTCATAGTTGCACATCCTTCTAGTTGCTGTATGTGGGACATAGCCTCAGCATGGCCGGAGAAGCGGTGTGTCGGTGCGTGCCCGGGATCCGAACCCGGGCCACCAGTAGCGGAGCGTGTGCACTTAACCACTAAGCCATGGGGCCCCTGCCCAATTTCTGAAACAACAACTAAATTATCCAGGATTCCTCACGGTTTCCCAATCACTCTCCCAAATCTGTCTTCAAGGTCTTCTGAATTTTTCTTTCCAGTGCTATGACCAATGCCATTGTTCAAACCACCATCATCACTCACCTAAACTATTATATAATCATATAACTAGACACCCCAGCACTACTTTTGCCTCCTCAAAAATAGCCTACAGTGACATCAGCATCATGGCGGAGTGAGCTCTCCCCATAAACTCTCCCCACTAAGATACCACAAAAAGGACATTCATACTAACAGAGGGCATTCACACAACACAAAAGACATCTGAGAGACCCACACAGCCCAACGTGTGAAGGTGGAGGTGCTGGACCCCATGGAGGAAGTGGAAGGAGGTAAGGAGAACTCCTCTCCATCCCCAAAGGCAGCAACTCCAGGTCCATGCAGCTCTCACAAAGAGAGGGGGGAGGGGCAGCCCTCCATGGGAAAACCATTACTCTCCAAATTACCCCACAGCCTATAGGAAACTCCCACATGGAAGTGACTGAACTATTAGGGGGTGCCTTCATCAAGCTAGCACCCCAGGGGAGCAGATAGTGAGAAGCCCCTGGGGATCCCACAGGCGAAAGAAAGTGCTCCTCCCCCTGCTCTGTGCTCCAGCACAGCCGGTCAGCCAGAGCACCTGCAGATCGTGGCAGGCTTAGAATACACAGCTCTTGACCCCCACCTAGTGGCAGCAGGAAGCTGTGACCAGATACTATCACTATGAGGAGAAATAAATCCACACCATCAAACAGAATGCAAAAATATATGAAATCTCCAGACCAGAAGGAAAATGACAAGCACCCAGAAATCAATCCTGAAGGCACAGAAATTTATAAACTAAATGACAGAGAATTCAAAATAGCTATCATAAAAAAGCTCAACAAGTTACAAGAAAATACAGATAGACAGTTCAATGAAATCAGGAACTTTTTCACAAAAGAGATTGAAACTATAAAGAAAAACCAGTCAGAAATACTGGAGATGAAAAACACAATGGAGGAGATAAAGCAAAATCTGGAATCTTTAAAGAACAGAGCTGAAAATTCAGAGGAAAGAAT